GTGTGAGAATGAATCTGATCAATGCTACAAATGAGGAGGATGTTATGTGCTAGAGGTATCTGTTTGCAACTGTCGTGGCAGGGTGAAATCATCCTCTGTATTTCTGATTTCCTAAGTAAATCACCAGAGGGCTTGACTATCCTTTTCCCTGGTATATGGTGGATACCACAGTTCAGTAACTAGTCTATGGCGGATACTCAATAAATGTGTGTTGAGTGATACAATGAGTGAGTTCACTAATCTATGAGTAAATGAGCTATAGCTCCAGGCCTGTGGATGTATGAGACAGGAGCTTCTCAGATCAGCAGCATTCACAGCCACAGCAGCCAGGAGTTCTTTCTTAGGAAACTGAAGTTGTCCAGTGTTTTACTACAGAGGTTTATAGGCCAGAATCTGTTTTGGATGGAAATGCAAAGAGACATCACTCAGCTAAACTCTGGGTTTTTGACTGGTTATTGTTTATTTTTAACTATCTTTTCACAAAGTTGAGGCACACAAAAAAATGGATTTCTAAACACTATTGTTTGTGTACAGTGATATCATGTGAGCACACAAACAGAAGAGAAAAACGAAAGATGATTTCACAAGCCATTCATTTACTCATTCATTTTTATACATTCCACAAGAATTCTATGTACAGGGCTCTGTGTACCTAGCAACTGTTTGGAAGAAAAACAGCCAGCCCCCAGCCACACTGTTTAATGGTCCTCTGCTTCAGGACCTGTTTTTCTTTTATCTTCTAACTTAGTTCATCATGTCCATTTATTTATTTATTTATTTAAGAAATATTTGCCACGAGCCCAGTAAGGGACACTGAGGACTCAGTGATGAGAAAAGCTGTCTTGGCCTCTGATTCCATTGAACTTGGAGTCTAATGGAGAGGGACAGACAGTATCGAACAGTCACATGAATATGTAATCAGACTGCAACTACGGCAGCCATGGGAAAGAGGGTGTGATGAGGAGACATAGCAGGGTCCCGACCTGGGAATCCGGAAAAGCTTCCAGAGGAAAGTGACTTTGGAAGCAAGATCTGGAAGTTGAGAGGAGGAGGCAGGAGCAGGAGAACTGAAGAAGCCAATGTAGGGAGTGGCCTGGGCTAAGGGCCATGAAGATGGAAGAGGAGACTGGAAAGGGTCCAGGGAAATCCAGGTCATATTAGTAACTGTTAAGGATGTTAATGAAAAGTGTGAACTGCTCAGATTTCTATTTTTCACTGTTTACTAGCAACTAGATTGTGGGTTCTTTGAGTTATGAGGCTGCATCATACTCATTTTTACATCTCTGACCACATCCAGCAGAGGGCTTTGAACGCAGGTGGTGCTCAGTTAAGATGGGTTGAACATGAGAAAGCATGTCAGTGATGGGACCATGTGCTGGGATGTTCATGATGACCTAGGTCAGTGGATACTTGCATCTTCAAACCAAGAATCCCCGGTGGTTTCCCCTTGGCCATGCAGATGAGAGATGAAGGGGCACGGACCTGTTTTTTTACTTAAGAAATGTTTCCGTTCATATTCTTTCTCTCTGAAAGAAAGAATTCTTCGCTAGCCCCCTGTTCAGATTCTCATTAGAAGACTTGCTAGTTGGCTACAAGCTCAACTGCAAGACTCACTGATCCTTCTGATGATTTGGGGCAAGCTGTGGGGTGATGTTCTCTCACTAAGAGAATGACCATCAGCTCAGGTTCCATATTCCCTGACTTCGCTCTTTCTATTCTGAAGACCTCTGCTCCCACACAGGTTGGCCAGCAGGATTATGGGTATCCTTTTGGAATTGTGACTTCTTATACTTTGGGGTGGATGCTCAGCAACTATGGACAATGCTCCCATCCTCACTAAAGAAAATGTTGTCCTTGAGCTCCTTAACAATACATTTGCCACCTCTATCTTTAGATGCTCAGGGGAAGGCTTTCTGGAATAGGGACAGCAGATAGAGATAAATTCCAGAGGCCCTTTCATGCAATAATGATTTCCTCAAAATGAGCCCAGATTGCAAGGACCTTCATCCTCTCCAGGTAGCTTTCTCCCCAGTGTGTGGATAGTATGTGAATATGATTGTATAGATGCAGCAGGAGAATGAGCTCCTGATCACTCTTTAAGTATGAGATGTCCACAATGATGTCATTTTTAAAGCCACTAGACACCACGGACGATGGCCAAATGACTGACATATTCTTAATCAGCTTCCATATTTATCTGTTTGGCTGTTTTCATCCCTTCTTATTCCTTGTGCTATTCTGTAATATCACCTCAGCCTCAGAGATTCAGCGGGGCTGTGTGCTGAACACATGAATACTAAAGAATTGGTTTCCTTAGTAACAATAACCATGAAGCAATCCTCAGAACTTCTTGCCTTTCTGCCCGACTCGCTTTCTGTTTGTTTTCTCTTGGTCACGTCGGGTAAGGTGCCAAACCAGGCCTGCCCATCAAGGACACACATCCATTTTGTGAGCCATGAGCAGAAGAAAGGCTTGTCTCTGCTGATGTCACATTTCTTTTCTCAGCCTGCTGCCCCATTCTGTGAGGTCAGGGCTCAGCCCGAGCACCTGCAAAGGCCCATGACCATCTCTCTTTCTTCCTTCCAGTCAAAATCTGGGACTACACACCGTAACACAGGACACAGAACTGAAATGATTTCTCCGATGTGGCACTCTCCTGAAAGAAGACATCCTTTCTGTCCACAAAATTCATAATTATAAAAAGAAAATCTTAAGCAAGTAGAGAAAGTTCTGATGATTTTCCAAGGTGTTTTTTCAGTGTTTGTTTGTTGTGAGAATTTGCCCTACTTCCTGCCCCAATTCCCAACTCTAGCCAGGATGAACCCAGGGGCCTCCTTCCCAAAGGGAGCAGAGGGAGACATTTTGAAGTGTGGCCCTGATACTATAGTCTGCTTCATAGGACACTGTTGTGGGAATTAAATTAAATAATGAATATACCGTAGGTTCTCACTTAATGGCGTCAATGGGGTTTGCAACTTTAAGCAAAATGACACATAATAAAACCAGTTTTACCAAAGTCACGAGGCCAGACACCGTGAGTCTGAGGGTGACGATGATGACATAGTCCTCGCTCTCATGAGGCTGACTGTCTGAAACAATCATTTGAATGCAAGGCTCAATTGCAAGCACAGTACGACAGGAACTATTCCCAGGGTAACAAGGACCACTTGAGAGAAATGTCTGATACAGCCTGTGAAACTGGAGACACACAGGGAAAACTCCCTGGAGAAGAGTAAGCCTGAGTTAAGTCTTAAGAAAAAAAGAAAAGTAGTAGGAATAGGTAAAATACATTGAACGCTTACTGTATATGAGGAACTTCATGTTAGACAGTAGGACCTCAAATAACGTCATTTCATTCAACATCAGTTTGTTACAAAGTTGATGAGATACTGTAGGAACTTAACTCTTGTTGTGTCAAGTAGCCTACAATAAAGTTGGTTTCATTATATGTCATTTTGCTGAAGTTACAGACCTCATCGATGACATTGAGGACTCACTGTACAGGCATTATTTAGTTCCCTCAGTAGTGTCCTATGAAGTAGACTCTAGTATCACGCCCACATTTCAAACAGGCTCAGGAGTCACGGTTCCTCACACACGGCCACAGAGCTGGGAAGTGGAAGAGCCTGCAGTCAAACCCAGAGCTGTGTGACAGCCAAGCCCGGGGTCTAAAGCGCAGGCTGAGTGGAAGTGGGGAGTCCTGAGGCTCTCATGTGATAGGCACACAAGCAGTTGCTTTTGCCAGGACCTGAGTGTGGGGTGAAGCATGGAGAGAGGCAGGCAGGGCCAGATTGTGACGCCTTGCTGATAAGCTCGGCCACGGTCTTCAAGGTGAAGGCAAGCTGCTGAAGGATTATAAGTAATGTGGGGAAGTGGCCTGGTTGCATTTTGTAAGGCAACTGTGAATAGGATGGATGTGAGGGGTTAGAACTGGGGACAGGAAGGTCAGTTAGAAGCCCTTGCGGTCAGTAGTTCTGGTAAGAAGTGATGTTGGCTTGATTTGGGGCATTGGCAATGGGGACAGCAAGGAAGGGGCCTCCCACAGCTTTTCCATGTAGCTCCATCTACTGGACGCCTCTTCCAACATTGCACCTGCAGCTCAGGCTCCAGGGCTCCTTTTGATCTCGTATCTTTAAATCTATCTGGGGTTACCTTACCCTCCCATGACCTACACTGTATCTCATTTTGCTTTAGACTCCAAAGGCCCACTATAACAGTAGGCACTTAGCAAAAAAAAAATGTTGAATGGAAGAATGAATGAACTGAAATCATTTCCAATTTTAATCCTATTTAATAAAACCTGTGGTCCCACTATCCTCATTCAAACGTGGTATGAAAGCTGGATGTTCTGATCAAGCATGAGATATGACTGATCTGGCTATCACAGTGCAGATGATCCTTGATTGGTATGTGATATCATTTTCTCTGTTTTGGATTTGACACTAAGTGATAGATGTCAGACAGTATGTACCTCAGACCCCTTAATTAGAAGAGGAAGAAGTGGAATTCAAGAGGATAATTATGTGTAATTTTCTATTTACTTAGAAGAGGCAGGGATGGGCCCTCTTTTTATAATTTTCCCAATTAAAAATTGGTCCAAACTCTGTGACAAGTTGAAAGAGATCGCTGAGGCATTTTAATAAGCTGAAGACCTACTGTGTAGCATTTTTAAGGCAACACAATTCATAGCTGATAATTTGAATAGCTTCTCCCATCTGGTGATCTTAATTTGTCGTTGGTCTAGAAGTAAAAATTTCAAAAAGTAAACACAATCTGCATACAGATGTTCATAGCAGTTTTACTCATAATTGCCAAAACTTGGAAGCAACCAAGATATCAGATGAATGAATAAATAAACTGTGATACATCTATTAGCAGTGGGGAGCTCTCCATGCCCCCACCTGCTGCCGGGGGAAGTGGGCTTCTTGTGATATCATGAGAAAAAGAATTTTCTGAAACTCACATGGAGCATGAGGTCTTGTAGAAAGCTTTATTTCTGTGGAATCAAACCCCTTGGTTTCCAAGGTCCCATTTCCCTCCATCCTACCAAGGAAGAAGTTCAGCTGTGTCTTCAGCAGGGCTAGGATTAAAGCCAGTGTCAAGAGTTTCTGTTCCATGTCTGCACAGTCCAATCCGGCATTTGGCAAGCTTAGTTTGTGTTCCCAGCTGTAGTCCATCAATCCATTGTGTGTGGGGTCCACAGGACCACATGGCTATGGAGGGAACAGGGGCAGGAACAAAACCAGAGGAATGAAAGAGCAAAGAGCCAAGAGAGAGATAATTCCTTTGTCTTTATATAGCCCCAAATTGAGATTATATAGCCCCAAATTTCTGTGGGCTTGCAGGGGATCTGCCCTCTCTAGCCAATGATCTTTGTTTCCAGGTTTGACTGGCAGCAAGCACCTTCCCTGTGTCATCCTGACTTTACTGTGGCAGGGATGGTCTTTGGCCGAGATGGTCTGCAGGAAATGGACCAGTGGTTCCCTAAGGAGTGTAAAGTTGCAGCTTCCTGGTGAGTCTGCCCAGAGGGCCATACTTATAATGTCTGGCCTTTCTTTTTCTCCTTTCCTATTATTAGTACCTAGCTAATTACAATGGTATCACATCCAGGCAGTAAAATATTAGCACCAAAAAGAAATGAACTATCAAACCATGAAAATACATGAAAAAACTGAAAATGCATATTACTAAGTAAAAGAAGCCAATTTGATACGGCTACATACTGTATGATTCCAACTATATGACATTCTGGAAAAGGCAAAACTATGGAAACAATGATAAGATCAGTGGTTGCCAGGAAGGGTGGGCAGATGAATAGGCAGAGCACAGGAGATTTTTAGGGCAGTAAAAATATTCTGATATTATGACAGATCTGAGTCATGCGTTTGTCCAACCCATAGAGTAAACTGTAATGTAAACTGTGGACTTTGGCTCCAAAATAGGTTCATCCTTGTTTAAAAAATATTCTGCTGAGTCATGTTGATAACAGGGAAGACTATGCATGTGTGGGGCCAGGAGGTATATGGGAAATCTCTAAATTTCCCTCTCAATTTTATTGTTAACCTGAAACTTCTCTAAAATTTGTCTTGATTTTTTAAAAAGGCACCCCCCACACACACACACACACAAAATCAGAATAAATAACTCGAGTAATTTCAATGACATCAGCTGTGATGGACTGAAGTGGACATATTATTCTATGGCCCTGCATTTTAACAAATAACGTAAGGCTTATTTTTTGTACATATTCCCAATAAATAATTTTGACAAACTATGTACATCCCATGCACATTTTTAGATAACTTTGGAAGAGCAGGACTCAGATGGACTAAAGCAGTGGTTCTCAACCTTCCTAATGCCGCGACCCTTTAATACCGTTCCTCATGTTGTGGTGACCCCCCAACCATAAAATTATTTTCGTTGCTACTTCATAACTGTAATGTTGCTACTGTTATGAATCATAATGTAAATATCTGATATGCAGGATGTATTTAGGTGACCCCTGTGAAAGGGTCTTTCGACCCCCAAAGGGGTCGTGACCCACAGGTTGAGAACTGCTGCACTAGCCAAAGGCAACAAATCACCACCAACAATTCAAAAAGACACAGGAAAATACAACTACTTCTTCAAAAACCATACCACAGAAATTACCATATTTTAATATGTGGTTCCACACTGAATTATTTCACAGTTATAATTAGGTTGCTAATGCAGTGCAGAATTGAGCGATACACTAATTTGGTATACACTTTATCTAATCTGATGGAAATGGGACATTTAGAGGGCCTGACTTTTTTTAAGCAATTAAAAAGGACTTCTTCAATTTAAGAACTTTAATATCATATTTTTTTATTATTGTGGTGGGCTTTGTGGTGTGTATTTGGTGGGAGGAAGAGAAAGAGAGAGATTCCATCCCAATTATAGGCACAAGCCATATGCTTTTGTCTCTGATTTGTTTTCAGTATTCATCTTGTAAGATTCTTTTCTTTCTTGCCTGCTTTTTTTTCCCCTCTCTCTCTTTTTCTTTTTTGCCTTTGGTGAATTAAAACTAAATTTTCTTCTCCAGGACAAGTCTCTGTTCCAGTCATAGTAAATACTAATTTCATTTCCATCTTATTATTTTTCTAATTAAGCATTTGTCATGCAAAAGGAGATCTGAGGTGCCTGTGCTTTCCATTACGTAAAATATTCAGTTATGATAATAGTGTTGGGATGGTATCTTGAAGGTATTATAGAAAGAAATCAGGGAAGAAATAAAATAAAATTAACTATATTTTACCTGAAAGTTTTGCCTGTTTATTTTCTCCCTACTAGGCCAAAGTTCTAATATTGACAATGTCTCATTATGAAGGATGAACACAAAATTATCATCCTTTAATAAGGAGAATTCTGTTAAATTCCTATCTAAGTTTTTAAGGTTAAAATATAACCCTGCATCTCATTTTTTCTCTTCTATTCATAGTTAGTAAAACCTATAACTTCTATACTTGATGAAATGTGCTTCTGAGCTCAAATTGTTTCAGAACAAAGTAGGAATATGCCAGAGGACAACCTGATATTTCTTGAAAATTCTTTCTTCCTTCTTATGACAAATCCCAAGGGGATAAGCTCTGTCGAAGGAGAATTTATTTTCTAAACCCTTTGAACACAAAGCTTTTCCGTTTTCTGTGGCAATAATGTTTTTCCCAGACAAATATTAACAATTATATCTTATATCCATATTTATATCCATACATATGTATCCTTTACATGTATGTATATGTGTATCTACATGTATGTCTTTATCAATTTATAAAATCTTAGATTTTATTATTTTTTTAACTCTTCATTGTTGAGAGTATTACAGATGTCCCACCCTCTTTCCTCCCCATTGCCCCTCTCCACCCTGATCATGTCCCACCCCAGGCCTTCACCACCCTATTGTCTGTGTCCATGGGTAATGCATGATGCATATAAATTCTTTGGTTACTTTTCCCCTGCCCCCCCTCACCCCTTTCCTCTGAGATTCATCAGTCTGTTCCATGTTTCCAGCCTCTGGTTCTATTTTATTCATCAGTTTATTTTGTTCATTAGATTCTTTGTTCATTTATTTTGATTTTTAGATTCAATTGTTGATAGACATGTATTTATTGCCATTTTATTGTTCATATTTTTTATCTTTTTTTTTCTTCTTAAAGAAAACCCTTTAATACTGGTTTGGTGGTGATAAACTTTAGCTTTTTCTTGTTTGTGTAGCTCTTTATTTGACCTTCAATTCTACATGATAGCTTTGGTGGGTAGAGTCACCTTAGTTGTAGGTCCTTGCTTTTCATCACTTTGAATAATTCTTGCCACACCCTTGTGGCCCACAAAGTTTCTGTTGAGAAATCAGCTGACAGGCTATGGGAGCTCCCTTGTAGGTAACTAACTGCTTTTCTCTTGCTACTTTTAAAATTCTCTCTTTGTCTTTAAGTTTTGGCATTTTAATTACAGTGTGGTCTTGGTGTGGGCCTCTTTGAGTTCATCTTATTTGGTTCTATGACAATATGGTTGAGTTCTCACAACTTGTGTTTTGTACACTTCAGGCCAATGTCCGCATACTCATTTTCTCACTCCCTAGTGAGAGTTCACTTGTAAGAGTTGCTGATCTCTCCACATCATTCTCTGCACTTGAGCTCTCCAAGTGAAAGATGGTGAATAAAAAGCAAGTAAGTTAATTAACTGAGAGACACGGGAACTCTTCCTATGAAATTTTATAAAGAGCCAAAGTGAAAGAGATGCGAGTCCAGCAAGGGACAGTGCCAGCCTGGAGAGGACACAGGCCCCACCAGAGACCAACAAAGCAGGAACCCAAGACCTGGTCCTGCCAGATCTCCACATGGTTTTAGGCAAAGCCAGGCACCAGATATTTATATGAAATTTCCAGATTCTTAAATACTAGCAACACGCTTTTTAAAAAGTCTTTTAACACCCTACTATTCAAGCAAAACAGTCGGAAGACCGACTTGGGCTAGCAGTATGTTACCCAGGTCCAGATTTAATTCCCTGAAATAACAGGCCTGCTGATCCTCCTCGAGGCCTTGGCTCCCCGCCCTGTGCTCAGCACATGGAAGAGAAAAGACCCTGGAGAAACAGGACCACCATTAGCATTGCAGGTTTCCAAGGAGTTAAATGACTGACCCCTCGTTTTAGTAAACAGTTCTCTGCTGTGTAAAAACCTCTGTGCATATGGTTCTTCTCCCTAAACAGTATTACAACATTTGCAGATTTTTATTCACTTGCCAGCTTGCTCTTGCACAACTTTTCAAGGACACTAAGTCTGTCTCCTCATCTATTAAACAGAAATAATTATGCGTGACCTGAAAATAAGCGAAAGCTTATAAAAATGTTATACAAACAGTGGCGATCAATCCAGATATAAGAAATCACTGTTCTCTAAATTCTTCCCTGGAATCTAAGTTTGAAACCAAGGAACAAAGGCTCTCTTATCTTTCTCCTAAGATGGTGTTTCCTTAACTTTAGTCATGACTTTTTTGCCATAAAAACTGCATAATTATTTTCTATGAATATTAATGACATAATCTTTTTCTTTAAGTCAAGCGACAATTTTTTTCCTTCCTGCCAACTATCACTTTCAACTACCAACTTTATCTTTGTCCTAAGCAATAATATTCATGAATGCACAGGTTTTATTTCCTAATATTTAACTGCCTAAAGCCTCAGTCTGTGGCTTGGAGTGGACATATGCAAATTAGCCGCCATCTTGGTTGTCAGTTAATTTGCATATACTCACTGATTAGCCAATGAAAGGGGTAGCGGTCGTACGCCAATTACCATGTTTCTCTTTTATTAGTGTAGATATTCATCTATGTACCACCTGAAATCACCTTGCTTATCACCAGTTATATGTCTCCCATCATCTTGGAATATTCTTTCCCCCAGGAGTAGTAGAATGTCATAGGAAGATTTCCTGTCTCTCTCAGTTTATTCATTTACTCACCGAGCATTTGTCACCTACTGTCTATCTCACGGA